TCCTCCCTCAACCTCGTAATCGCACAATGCTCTTCAACAAAAATTAAAGACTTAAGAAGATTGAAAATCCACAGCACCTTTTCAATAATGCACCAACCAATGAATTTCATAATACATTACCGTCCCTCAATAAAATAAAAAAGTTAATAAATAACATCGTTTTAAACGAGCCATCCGCATTTTCTCGTTGAATCTTTTTTTTGTGAAGAATGTTGGTAGACAGGTGCAGGTGAGAAAATTATCCCGAACGTCAAATTTGTCCTCGTTAATCTCGTTCGCATGGCCCTGGTGTTTAAAAGCGACGCCTAATATACGCGTCAGAGCATGTACGCAATTAATCGTCCTTAACCTTTGCAACGTACGCTTAATTGACAATTTTTCAAGCACGCGATGTTTAAGCGATGATTGTTCATTGAACGTGTCACATACGGAACAAAGTTAATACTTTCCGCTGGCATTTTTGTTGTACGTCAACTCCGCGTTAATGTAATCCCTTTAGAACGTGTTAACTCGTTCGAGGGACACGTCGATGTTAATGAAAACTTGTTTTCCTTTTAATCGCGTCGTTTTATGTCGAACTGAAATATGCGTCGAGGAAAAATGAACTTTTTTTATGGAGTTTTTATTGCTGTGACGGGAACGTAATATTTCTTGGAGGACTTCATTAGAGAGTTGATTAAGGTGATTGATTAGGTAATGTTGGGAGATGTAGATGTGAGTAACTTGATTGTGATGTGGAAATGTAGAAATTTAGTAAGTGGAAAATTGGGAAATTGGGAGATGAAAAACTAGGAGATGGGACATTAGGAGATGGGAAATTATGAAATGGGAAATTTGGAAATGAGGGAATTGAGGAATTGAAGAATTTGGGAATTGCGGAATTATGGAATTAGGGAATTATGTAATTGGGAAATTTGGGAATTGGGAAACATGGGAATTAGGAAATTTGGGAATTGGGAAATTATGGAATTGGGAAATTAGAGAATTGGGGAATTATGGAATTGGGGAATTATGGAATTGGGGAATTATGGAATTGGGGAATTATGGAATTGGGAAATTATGGAATTGGGGAATTATGGAATTTGAAAATTATGGAATTGGGAAATTAGAGAATTGGGGGAATTACGGAATTGGGAAATTATGGAATTGGGGAATTATGGAATTGGAAAATTATGGAATTGGGGAATTATGGAATTGGAAAATTATGGAATTGAGAAATTATGGAATTGGGGAATTGTGGAATTGGAAAATTATGGAATTGGGAAATTAAAGAATTGGGGAATTATGGAATTGGAAAATTATGGAATTGAGAAATTATGGAATTGGAAAATTATGGAATTGGAAAATTATAGAATTGGTAAATTATGCAGTTAAGAAATTATGGAATTGGGGAATAATGGAATTTGGAAATTTGGAAATTACAATATTTGAAAAGGGTCCTTCAGAAATTGTTAAATTTCAAGATTTGAAAACTTGAGAAGACATCTCACAATTCTAAAAATTTGAGAATTCAATTGAAAACCCAAAGCTATGTACACTAAAAACTTTGAAATTTATAATGAATCAATTATATCGTGAAATATTATATGCAAAAGTACCACCCTTCGAATACCACCCTTCCAACTAAGTATCTCAATTTAATCATATTAGAAGGCTTCCTCGACGTTTTTATTTACATCAGTTAATTAGAAGCGTTCTACGTACAGGTATGAAACACGGAACATCCTAGATAGCGAAAATATCCTAGTAACGAGCAAGAGTGTGCAATTTCATCGATCGTCGGATAAAAACACAAGAGTTATTCGAGGATGGTGCGCATCAAGCAGCGAATGAGGCCATGTTGCCTGGAACGAATTTAATAAATCCAAACGCAACAGCGATGAAACAATACCTGCAATTTGTAACGCAAGCCATGAATTACCTTCCGATAATTTAATTATCTTCTGTACCAACAGATTTCCCAGAACTAATCACTTTTTGCAACTTCCCCATAAAAAGAGCAACAAAAATTCATTGAAATTCATGAGAACGAATTCGCGTTCCGTAGGGGTGTCATTGTTCTTTCTGGATAATTAAATTTTCGAAACGTGACATTTTTCGATGCTGATTCGCATAAATTGAACCAGCGATGTGTTGTAAAATTGATGCGATTTTATTTGGTTCTGAGTAATCAACAATGTATTGAAATTGTTTCATACGGTCAGGGTGAAATAGGGGGTCGTTACTTTACTGGGGTGGAAATTACGGATATTTGCATTTAACTGTGTTCTCATTTTTGTGGGATTCTAAATCTTCGGTTTAATTTTTTATAGATTTTTTCATTTTAGTGCGCAATTTTTTTGAAACAATAATAGGATAATTTTCTAATTTTCTAAGTGTGCAAATGTCAAATTCGCTGATTCCCTATGTTCCTAATTTCTTAATTAATTATTCCCCTTCTTGCTAATTTCCTAATTCCCTAATTTGCTAACTCAGTATTTCCCACTTTCGTAATTTGCTAATTTCCTAATTTTCCTATTCCATAATTTCTCGATTCCATAATTCTCCGATTCCCTGATTCCCCGATTCCATAATTTCTCGATTCCCTGATTCCCCGATTCTCTAATTCCCCAATTCGCTAATTCCCCAACTCCCTAACTCCCCAACTCTCTAGTTTCCCAATTCCCAAATTCCTCGATTCCCTAATTCCCCGATTTCCTAATTCCCCGATTCTCTAATACCCCGATTCCCTAATTCCCCGATTCCCTAATTCCCCGATTCCCTAATTCCCCAATTCGCTAATTCCCCAATTCCCTAATTCCTAGATTCCCTAATTCCCCGATTCCCTAATTCCCCGATTCTCTAATACCCCGATTCCCTAATTCCTAGATTCCCTAATTTCCCGATTCCCTAATTCCCCGATTCCCTAATTCCCCAATTCGCTAATTCCCCAATTCCCTAACTCCCCAACTCTCTAGTTTCCCAATTCCCAAATTTCCCAATTCCCAAATCCCCAAATCCCCAAGTCCCCAAATCCCCAAATCCCCAAATCCCCAAATTCCCAAATTTGCCAAAACCCTAACCTCCCAATCTCCAAATCCATAAATCCCCAAATTCCCAAATTCGTGGAAACCCTAACCTCTCAAGTGTCTAACCTCCCAATCCCCAAATTGTAAAACGGTAAAATTCCAAGATTTTCCGAGCACCCTTCAATCTGATATTAACCCAGTCGTGACAGACATCTTCAATGAAATATCGCAACGATCAATTCTTCAATCGTCGAAATCGATCAATAGCATACAAGGTAATGCCATTCGAACGTTCGAAAGGTCCTTTTATTTGCCCTTCTCAACCTGTCCCGTCGCGAAATCAAAGGAAAGTCATTGTAGGTCACTGATTGCGAATCGATCAGTCTTCCGTTTCCGCGGAGCAGAGACTCGTTGTCCCGTGGAAGGAAATGGAACAGGCAGAAAAAGTCCCTTCCAAAGATTCCCTTTAACGCGTAAATCGCGTGAACGTGTTAAACGGTTAAGTTAGGTTAACGCGGCGTCCTAGGAAATCGCAATCAACCGACTATTAACGCAATTACTAAATCATTTGGCTCCCTAACGGATCCATTGTTTGATCAGACGAGCGTCAACGTTCGGCAGTCCCTAATAATTGCCACCATTATCGTTAGCATAATTGAAACCATGTTTTGTCATCGGTCGCTTAACGTGGAAGCTAATTTGCGCGAATCTGCAAATGATGGGTTATCAATTTCTCTATTTACAAGTTCGAATACGATCTGAAATTTGTATGTTTCCACGATTCTGTTTGTATAAACACTATAATTTATTCAGTTGGTTAGTTGGAAATTTGGAAGGTTGAGTTTTTGGATACTTGAATATTTATAACTTTATTTACTTTTGCAAATGGCTAAATTTTCAAATGATTAAATTTCTAAATTTCTAGATTTCTAGATTTCTAAATTTTCCAATTTTCCAATTTCCTAATTTCCCAATTTCCCAATTCCATAATTTCCCTATTCCATAGTTCCCTAATTCCATAATTCTCCAATTCCGTAATTTTTCAGTTCCATAATTTCCCAATTCCCAAATTTCCCAATTCCCAAATTTCCCAATTCCCAAATTTCCCAATTCCCAAATTTCCCAATTCCCAAATTTCCCAATTCCATAATTTCCCAATTCCATAATTTTCCAACTCCATAATATCCCAATTTCCAAATTTCCCAATTCCATAATTTCCCAATTCTCTAATTCCCTAATTCCCTAATTCCCCAATTCCATCACTTCCCTATTCCATAATTCCCCAATTCCATAATTCCCCAATTCCATAATTCCCCAATTCCACAATATCCAAATTCCATAATTTTCCAATTCCCATAATTTCCCCATTTCCTAATTTCCCAATTCCCCAATCCCTCATTCTCAAATATCCACCCACCAAAATTCCCAAATCCCCAAATCACCAAATCCCAAAATCCCCAAATTTCCCTAGATACCAACACTCCACACCCACAATCCATATTAATGCCTCACATCTCTTCAACACCCGATTTATCCACAACTCTCATACCCTCGCCATCTTTAACCTCCACCCTAGATTAACCCTAGACTTTCACCACAACTCTCAGAACACAAAGATGTAGTGACTGAAAAACTTTTGAAACGTTCCCCAGAGCGCCATCAATCCCAATTCTATTTCCAAGAAGGTTCCGATACCGTGCCCGCGAACTGATAAATAATAGACGCGAGAGTCGTTATAATTCCCGGGGTGGTATTTCCTCGCAAATTCTTTTCTGTGTACTCACACATCGTCCCGATTATTCTCCCCGACGATGGAAAAAGAGAAGAAAAAGTAAAAGTATCGACGGCTATTCTCTTGGCCGGATATTCCATTTACTTCGAAATAAAAGAATCTATTCCGAACGGTGATTTGTGTCTGCGTGACCCTCTTTCTGTTCTCCCGGCTGCTGGAACGAAGGGTACTCAACTCTTGTTGCTCACGTTTGTTCGCAGGTGTTCGACAAACATAATCGAGGCTACATCACCGCGTCAGATCTCAGGGCAGTGCTGCAGTGCCTCGGGGAGGACCTGTCAGAGGAGGAAAGTACGTATCAATCGTAATAAAGAATCCTTGACGAATTATCCTTTGCTTTCGTTTGGTTGAGGGAACGGATTTGTTATCTGTCATAGGTAGTTGGACCACAAAACTCGTTATCGCGGGTAGACTATCTGGGAGTGACGAGTTTTGGCGTTTCTTTATGATGTAAGGGGAATTAGTTTTCACTGGGGTTGGTGGGGTGAGATTGGGACACTGGGTTTCAGGGTTTTTGGGTATTTGAGATTTGGGGGTTGTTAGTTTGGGAAGGTTGGAAATGTGGGGATGTGGGGATTTGGGGATGTGGGGATTTGGGGATGTGGGGATTTGGGGATGTGGGGATTTGGGGATGTGGGGATTTGGGGATGTGGGGATCTGGGGATGTGGGGATTTGGGGAAGTAGAGATTTGAAAAAGTTGGAATTTGGGGGATGTAGAGATTTGGTGATGTAGGAATTTGGGAATATTGGGATTTGGGGAAGTTGGAAATTTGGGGACGTAGAATTTGGAAATGTGGGATTTGGGAAATTTGGAATTAGGGAATATTGGGATTTGGGGAAGTTGGAAATTTGGGGACGTAGAATTTGGAAATTTGGAATTTGGGGATGTGGAATTTGGGAATGTAGGATTTAGTTATTTTTAATTTGGGAAATTTGGAAATTTAGGAATGTGGGATTTAGGAATTTTCAATTTGGCGAATTTATAAATTTAGGAATTTCTAATTTAGCCCCAACAATTACATCAAATCAACAATATTTCCTTGCTATTGCTTTTTAACAAGAATGGCAGAGACCATCAGCCAATCGCATAAAATCGCTTTTCAGAACCTCTTCCTACAATATTTACACAAGACTCTAAATAATAGAATTGTCAACGTCCTCATAAGGCATTATTAAGCATTCGGTAATCGGTTCCCCCTGCGGCAATTATTAATCCTTGGAGAGAAATGCGTGTATAGCACAAATTGATTCCGGTCAATTAATAAGCTCATCCCATGTCCCAAACGGATTATTACGTTGCTCGCTATAGACACTATTCTAGGTTCAATAGAGAGACCGCACAATTTACCCTCTCGTCTTCTCTTACGAGTCTCGCAACCTATTAGCCTCGAAATTTTCCCTGCATGCTTCACCATGAAATTTTCACGTGAACGTTTTGTTTTCGCCAGATTTCGTTATGATACTCGAGCAGGTTAATTTCGTTATCGCGTTCATCTTGTAGGAAAAACAGCGTTAACGATACTGTAAATGAACGAATAATGAATTTTAATTGCTCGATGAATAAAATCTTCCTCTAAAATAGTTTTCCCGTGGAAATTGGGATCGGAAGATACAGAATGAGATTTAAAACTTTCGAGTCTGGTTTGCTTTAGATAAGAATTTAATTTAATGCATTTCCAGGTTTTCTGATTGGAAAGTGTTTCCGAACTTCCGAACTTCATTTTCGTCACGGGTCGGTCCTTTGTTAGGTTAGGTTTTTCGATATTTCTGAATGGGCTGAGTTTTGAACACGATGGCCATTTTGTTTTAATCGGATTCTTTTAAATTAGCGTTACTACCTGAAAATTTACTTTAATATGTGTTTTAACATTTCTTTTTTTAATTATTTGCTGAAAATTTACTTTAACCCCTTTTTTTTATATGAGTGTTACAAACTGAAGATGTTCTTTAAAATATATTTTAACCATTCCTTTTTAAAAGTACTACGAGATGAAAACATATTTTAATCTCGTTCTTTCTTGTAGATAATTGTAATAAGCTGAAAATGTACTTTAAAAAATAATTTAACCTCTTTATTTTATAAAAGTATTACAAGATGAAAATATATTTTACCCTCTCTATTTTATAAAAATATTACAAGCTGAAAATATACTTTAACCTCTTCTTTCAGATAAGTATAACAGACTGAAAATATATTTTCTTAATTGCACTTTGACTTGCAAAATTTTCTAAGTCTCCACATGTGACATAATATACCACATGTGCCTTAATATACTAACACGAATTACATAAATTTATAAACTGTACAAAACAAATATTTATCATATACATAAATATTTAGCATTTCCAATGTACAAAATTCTGTCTCAAAAAATGTCTCTTGAAAATAAATTTTGTCTAACATCCTAGATATCAGTTGATCCATTATCATTTTCACCAAAACCATCAGTAAAAAAGGTCAGGTGCTCTAAGTGCACAGACCAATTTGCACATCCATTTCCCCCGCAGAATGTATCCCCAAAGTTCTAAACTAATAATAAATGTAAGATCCACCGAAAATTTGGCGATAGGGTTAAAACTTGCCGGAGTAAATTATTCGAATCGAGTGAACGTGACGTTGCCAATAAATTGCAAGCAGTTATGTCGTGACGTGTGTCGGATAAGTCCAGAGTCTTCTGTTTATCCATTCCTGTTATGTTTCAACAAGATTTTGGGCACGAGAAAGATGTCAAATAAAATTAGAAGCCCACGCTAGTTAATCCCACGGGATAACAATGGGGGAGTTTCTTATTTCTATCGGACTTAATAACCATCCGTGTTTTCTTAGACCCTGTAATCTCCGGAACACTGGGTCACTTTTCGACACGTGTCTTTTAACGTACCTAGTCCTTCCAACTTTTTCCAGGGGGAAATCTTGCGCGGATCGAACACTGCAAGTTATGAAAATCAGCCGCGTGAAAATAACTCGAGGGACTTCGAGTCGGGTAACGATTTCACTGTGGATCCATGAAAGTTTCCGTCGCTCGATTCAGCCTTAACAAACGCGACGAATGCGTAATGCGCAATCGATTTGTCGCGGAAATAATGGACCATCGACAACCATTGAATACCTGTCGACAAACTTTCGAACGATTCAGAGTTTCTGTTTCGTGGATCTCTAGTTTATCTTCGCAGTCTTATCGAATTAGAGATTAATTGCAATGAACCTCTGCGAGGAAAATGCGACTAATTGATTTAGAACAAATCTTTGGATTGTCTTTGGAGAATCCATGACCTGCAGTGGAAATGGAGTAGGCGGAAAACTTAATTTAAGTTCGTGATTGAACTTTCAAATATTTTTTTTATGTTTGATGTTTGTACATTTTTGGGTTTTCATATTGGGTTGTTATATATAATTTTTATTAGTTTGAAGTAAGATTTTCAAATTTGCAACTTTTTAGGTTTTGAAATTGTGTAAATTTAGGGAACTTTATTTCTTCCTTTAGGGTGCTTCATTGCATCCTCCAATTCCCACATCTCCGAATTCCACCTTTTCCAAATCCTCACATCTCCGAATTCCATCTTCCCCAAATCCCTACATCCCCAAATTCCCACATTCCCAAATTTCCACACCCCCAAATTTCCACATTTCCAAATTCCCACACCCCCAAATTTCCACATTTCCGAATTTCCACATCCTCGAATTCCCACATCCCCGATTTCCCACATCCCCGATTTCCCACATCCCCGAATTCCCACATCCCCGAATTCCCACATCCCCGAGTTCCCACATCCCCAAATTATCTTCCCCAAATCCCTACATCCCCAAATTCCCACATTCCCAAATTTCCACACCCCCAAATTCTCAAATCCCCAAATTCCCACACCCCCAAATTTCCACATTTCCGAATTTCCACATCCTCGAATTCCCACATCCCCGATTTCCCACATCCCCGAGTTCCCACATCCCCGAATTCCCACATCCCCGAATCCCTACACCCTCAAATCTCTACATCCCCAAAATTCCACGATTCCAAATCTCCACTTTCCCAAATTCCTATGCTTCATAATTCCACCGTTCCCAGATCTCTACCTCCCCAAATCCCTACATCCCCAAATTTCCACGTCTCCAAATCCCTACATCCCTAAATCTCTAAATCCTCCAAATCTCCAATTCTCCAAACTCCAAATTCTCCTCCCAATTCTCCAACCCCAAATTTTCAACCTTCAAATCCAAGAACCTTCACCATTTGTAATGAATCAAGTCTCCACCAAAAGATGTATAAACGCCATGAGTCTCTCTTTATTCGACAAATTTGCAGAAAATCAGATTAAACAGAAACGCTTCTGAATGAAGAGCGATTTCGCGTGACAAGTGTCAATGATAACGGGGCCAATTATCACCTCGTTTTTCGTCGCGGAATATTAATCGCGCGAGAACGCTTCAGAACAGATTTCACGGAAACACGAGATCAACATCCGCCGAACGAAAAATTAAATTGCTGCGTGCTCGTTCCGTCAATTAGCATACGATCATCGGTGGATGATTTTAATCAGACCAAATGCAATATTTGTCGTGTCAGTGAGTGGCCATGGTCAACGTGGCACGTTAATAGCCTCGATATTAATTTCGACGTTCCGGGGGTTTGTCCAGCAACCCTGTAATCTGTCTGGAACAGTCGCGATTGTTACGGAAAGAAGGAATCGGAGGAAAATGGGGACAATCGTTTTTGGAATGCTTGTTAGGGGATTTGTTTGTGATGGCTTGTAAATTTGTGTAGAATGAGATGTAAGCTGATTTTGTGCTTTCAGTCGAGGACATGATCAAGGAGGTGGATGTGGACGGGGATGGCCGAATCGATTTCTATGGTAAGTTCTTTGTGATTTTTAGTGCAATCTTTTTTGCTATTTGCAGATTTGGGAATTTGGGGACTGAAATTTTAATCTTAAGAAATTTCGGTATTTTGGAAATTTGAGACTTCAGGATTTAACTTGACAAGTTTGGGTGGTTTGGAATTTTAGGAACTTGGAAATTTAGGGGGTTGAAAAATTTGGGCCTTCAAGAATTTCTGGGCTTTGGAATTTGGAAATTTGACACTTCAGGGTTTAACTTGACATGTTTGGGTGATTTGGAATTTTAAGAACTTGGAAATTTGGGGAGTTGAAAAATTTGGGTCTTCAAGAATTTTGGAAATTCAGAAATTTGGTAGCTTCTTAACACTTTAATCCCCACTCACACATGTGTGTAATGATCAGAGAACGTAGGTGGTTGCCCTAATAATTATCACTCAAAGAAAAATATTAAAACTTGTTATATTAAATGTGTCGTAAGTATTGCTTTCATTTGTTTTATACATACGTTTGAACACGTTGGACTGTTTTATGAATTTTCATAAAGTTTTCTCAAAAATTCAACCAGGCCATTTGACTCCATAGGCAGTCAATAATTAATTTAAAACTCTAAAATTATAAAATTTGAAAAATGTAAAATAACCTCACAAGAAATACTCTAAGTAAATTCCGTCACTGGATTCTCGAGTCGTCGATTGATCGACGTCGAAGAATTTGTGAAAAAATACAGGGTGGAGACGTATTCCGACAGAAAAGACGAGGGTGACATTCCACGAACACGAAAGAAGTCGTCAGGAACGAAACCGTACTCGTAAAGGGCGAGAATGAAGACAAAAAGGTTCCTTCGATTTTTCTTCTGTGCTTTTCGTTTGGATTCCACGATATGGGGGACTTGCAGTGTCACCGATAAGCTGAAATTCTTCCACAGAGCTTTACGCGAAAACTTCCGTCTCATTCAAGAGAACAAAAACATTCGACCATAAATTTTTTTGATTAAATTACACAAATAATGTGTGGGAGCAACAATATTGCACGGCGGTCTGGTATATACTGGAGAATTTAATTCTACTAAAAGCCTACCCTGACAGATGTCAGGAAAGACTTCATTCATCATTTTACTTAATCCTACTGGAACCTTTTCGCGATGTCGCAACAATATTCATATTAAATTTTCCTGTTTGCAAACGTTTTGAATTGATTAACGCGCTCGCTGTCTCGTTCATCAGCGTACATTTAATTCAAAATCAAATATGATAATTACGGAACTGGTGGAAACGGTGTGGATACAATTACAATTGCACTGATATTTTAACGAGGTACTTGCATTTTACTGTTGCTGTCGATCGAATTTATTCAAGATGATTTTCCTGAGGAATATACATACATGCATTTTCTATATATTTATACGTTCTTTATACATTTATACATTCTCTTAGAATTTGATGTACGAACACAATGATGGTATACACATGTGTCATCTTTGAGTGATGCATTGAAGAACATGTTAAATGTCCACATACGAGTATTTGAGATTACGTGCAGCGCCATTTTGATTATCGCCGATCAAATTTACTTAAAATGATTTTCCTAAGAAATATACATACATACATTCTCTATACATTTACACATTCTCTTAGAATTTTATATACAAACATAATGATGGTATACACATGTGTGATCTTTGAGTGATGCATTGAGGAATATGTTAAATGTCCACATACGAGTATTTGAGGTTAAGTGCAGCGCCATTTTGATTATCGCCGATCAAATTTACTTAAAATGATTTTCCTAAGAAATATACATACATACATTCTCTATACATTTACACATTCTCTTAGAATTTTATATACAAACATAATGATGGTATACACATGTGTGATCTTTGAGTGATTCATTGAAGAACATGTTAAATGTCCACATGTGAATATCTGAGGTTAAGTGTAGAGCCATTTTGATTATCATAGATCAGTTTCACTATTGCACTGCATTAACACACTATTACTTTCCTACTTGTTCAATTTATTATTTTTTTACCTGACTGTCTTACTGTTCCATTTTAATGAACTTAATAGAATGAACTCTCAAAGGAAATATTTAAGAGATTTAATATTCAGCTACGTATGGTCTTATCAAAAGTTGATGTTCAATATTTCTCAATCTGATATTTTCAAATAAATATGTATGAAATATGGTAGACAATAGATTAATGATCTTGAAAATCATATGTCACAGAATTCGTTCACGCACTCGGGGAACCAGGGATAGAGGACGACGAAGAGGACGACGAGGAGGACGTGATGTCGCCGGGCTACTAGGATTTTACCTATTCTCGTGTCTGTGTTAGATAGAACGAATTAAAGATGAATCGAATCGCGCGAATTACAAAGTTCATCGCGTCTTTAACCCTCTGACATTCACTCGCGCGTCGCGACTAACCTTGGAAACGTCCAGATTTATAAATTTTCGTTCGTCGAGTAACACTTTGAAATTCGCGCAGACGCGCAAGATGGTTACGCTTTGTGCCAAGAGGGTGTGCCACCCTCTGCACCGACGGAACTCTGAGCGATATATCTCGACTCCCGTGACGCTCGTTACTTTCGGTCAATGTCAGAGGATTTCGAAAAGCCCTAATCGCACCTACCGTCTAAGATCCGTAGATACGATGCTTGATGCGATTTTATGTCACTTCGGTTCCAAATCTTTCATCGATAGAGATCGAAATTGAACGTAAAAGTCTGTGTTGACAAGAAGAAGGGTGAAAAGTGACATAAAATCTCAACAAGCTGTTCTTTAAACTTCCTTCGTTAACTGTGTATCTACGTGTTCGGCGGATTTCCGGGAAGAGATCGGCGAGCGAGCTTTTTTTCTTTCCAATTGGAAACGATGAGATTTTGAATAACGAAAGAAGGGTTTATAAGAACGCTTCTGAGCTTCGCTTGCCGAATCAACCGGAATCGATTTCTTCTAAGATATGTGGATTTTTTCGATTTTACTCTCTTTCTCGAAATCTAACCTATCGATAAGTCACGTTGTATTTCACACCTAAAATCACTGTAACGTAAGAAAACAAGCACCGCAGCAACACTCGATCGATTGCACTGCGACGTCACCGATCGATCGGCGAGTGATCGATCGAAGACCAGCTTCTCCACGGGTTTGGAGAACGGAGACAAAATAAGCGTTGACACGATTCTTACTCGCGCTTTGGCACTATTTGAAATCTCTCGAATGTCCTTCTTTGAGATTTTTCTTCGGGGTTCACTGAGATAACGGAGCCTCGAGACCGCGGGGAAGGTTGAACGACTATTTTAAAATCGATCTTGATCGCTTCGCCCTCCTTGAGCTTCGTACTGTGTACCTTGTAAACGATATTTCACTGTTACGCCGTAAATAACAAGAGCCGCACGCTGTTTCAAATATTTTAAAGGGTCTAATAAATCTAATAAACGATAAAGGTTTCACTGGTTGTTAATGTTTTTCTCCTACTGTTCCTTCCTGTGTTACTCGATATGGAATTAGCTTCCTCCTCCTAATCGATTCAGCACCTACACTCTAATTTACCCTGCGTTTCGATGAATAATTTTTCCTTTCTGCATATTATTTTTTATACAGTAGACTGTCGTTATATTGTCATCAAAGAACAGGTCTGAATGAAAGAAACATGTGACAAACTTAACTTGTAGTACAATTAATAGATGTTTATGTAACACGTTAGAAATTTAGAAATTTCACATGTTAGAAATTTAACGCATAGTAGTTTCAACGTGTAAAGATCTAACACGTGATAAACGCATTTCTATAAACGCATAGAAGTATGCATGGCGAATCTAACTTATGGTAATTGAAAACCTTGTAATCCATCGCGTAGAAAATTGAATTCATGATAATATAACGAGTGAAGATCTCACACGTGGAAATTCAACGCATGCTAACTTGAAGATGTCCGTTCATCTATAAAATGGCGGGAAGCGCCGGTAGCCACGAAAGTTTACGACAACCCAACTTGAAGATGTCCCTAGACCTCCATTTATAAAATGGCGGGAAGCACCGCCGGCAAAGGTCCATATAAAGGCAATAAAGAAACTTTAAATATGTCTATTATAACAAATGTACCAATAAATAAACATTGCAACAATAAACGAATCCATCTGCATTTCCCTCCAATTTCTTGAAAAAGGAATGAAAGAATGAAACACCTCGGTTTTCTTAAACGTTCAGTTTTATTAGCGATAAATAAACTTACATATCTTTACAGTAACAACGTCCTCTCGTAACTCTCGGAAAATATGGTAATATCTATCCGCGAAAATCCACATAGATCAAGACTTCCATTCTCTGTTTCGCGTAATGTTTCCTGATGTTCCTAGTGATGTTATTGTTGTAGCTGAAACGTCCGGCGACGAACGGGTCTTTTAGAAAAATTCAGCACAACACGAGAAACGCGTACAGAATGATCTACGCTGCGAGTGTGTTTGACTCTGTCTGTGTATGTGTGTTTTACATGCGGCATACGTACGGATCTCAAAGCTGCGTTCTCGTTAGGCAATCATTGATCAAAAATCCTCTACTCGACATTCATCTTGATCCAACCGATCAAAAATTGCCCAAAGTAAACGCCACCTTGTCGTCCTTTTATAATTCTAACGATAGCGAGCGTACAACTTGTCCAACATAAAAAAAGAAAGAAGAAGAAAAACCGAAAAGAAAGAACAAATTGAAAACGTAAGACATTTAAGTATCGAGCCGAAGAAATTTATCGACTGTCACACGGACGCGAACGTTCGATGGCGAACGACCGGGTGTCTTACATTTCGTATATTTTTTTTTTTTTTCAATTTTCTTTAAGTCATCCAGCTTTGACCATTAACTGGTGGCCGAACTCTCGCGGCCTGGAATATAATCGCGCGCGTAATCCCAGTCTGTTCGCGATTCGACGACGAGCGGACGCCATGTTCCGAAACGCCATGAATACAATTTCTCGAAAGAATACCGTGTGAAATCCGCTCGACTCGTCCGCTCGACGTTCATCGACGATAAAGAGGCTATACAATAGTCGAAAAATATGATCCGCCAATGATCTCGAGCAAGACGACACACAATGATATATATGTATAAGATGCGTTGTATTATTACCAGTTAAGAGGAAAAAGCTTTCGTTTAACGATACACACCGTGTTCCTTCGGTTTACTCGTCAGAGAAGCGTTACTTTATGTACACGTATTTACGAGTAGACGCGACCGCGCGTTCGACGGCCGCGTTCGTTTACTTTTTTTTCTGTGCGTGCTATCGAAGTACATACATGCAGCTGAGAATCATATCGAAATCTTTGTATTCTCGATCCTGTAATTATAATTCGTGCAAATGGAACGCTCGCGGAAAAAATACGGCTCGATGGATGACGATTGGTCACCTGCGCTTGCCCGTTTCATCGAAGCGCCCTTCTGTTTCTGATCACTCGAGACGTGTTCGCGAATCGTCAGGGACGACATTTTTTCTTGACCGCAAAAAAAATGAACGCCCCAACGATTCGGAACGAGAACGAAAGTCACGCGTACCCTTAGCCCTCCAAAGACATCGAATTCACGTTCGATCGTCGGAAAAATGCTCGAAAAAAGAGATCTTGCCCGAACCGCCGGTGAGATCGTTGCGGGTACGATTTACAAAAATTTGGTATCTTAAGCGACTAACCCTGATCGTCAACGGGGCGAGACGCGACCTCGAAATTTATTAAACTCGCGATTATATAAAAAATTAGATGTCCCTCGTGCGCGCGCGGCCGCGCTGCGGTCCGTTGAGCAGAGGTTCTTTTGGCGCTTCTCGAATCACTTGTCGTTCCCCAATCGATCAATCGTTCCATTTGTTTCAGAGTCCAATTCGGTTGTCGAATCGCGCGTTCACTTTTCTTCACCTATTCACTGTCTGCTTTCTAGTCTCAAACGTTCTGTTACGAATATCTTGCCAAAAAATGGTAAGACCCGAGCTCGAAAAGTATGACCGAAGTCTGTGTTGGCTACGTAACGCTAAGTCCTTTAAATAACGTTTAACTCGTTCACCAACTGCTGCTTACAAATTGAGCCTCAATCCAAAAGATGGCCGAGGCCACTGCTCTGAACTCGAAAAGTACAACCGAAGTCTCATCGTATTGGTGGTTATATAAACGCTAAGTGTCCTTAGGTAAGTAACATTTAACCGCGCACAAACGTTTCTTAAGTAGCTCGTGAAGCATTATAGGATACGACGGGTTGTCTCCTCAACGTATCTCTTACGAACCGTTCACTAATCAACACCAAAAAGTTCCTAGGAAAAATCGTAAACGTTCGCGAAGAAGCCTCGCTAAGATCTCGAAAAGTCCGTGAAAGGATCTCGTACACGTCGAGTGTACGCTTCTTGCACGTCAAGCCAGGACCGTCTATGACGGTCGACTACTATCGACAGAATAGTAGTTCAAACAAAATCGTTGCATTGCGATTCACTTGCGATTCGACCGGGCTGGTCGACGTCATCGCAAAATCCCACATCCCCAAGATCGATGGTGTATCATCGACCTCCTAGCAATCTCCGTCAGGATCCTGAACGTTCGCGTTGGCGACGGCGGTCGCGAATCGCAGACGCCTTCTTCTCACTCCGGAGAACGCGGACAATGATAGTTTTCGACGGTGATGCGAGGATGAGATCGAAGCACGATTGAAATCCCATCTCGCGACGGGTCTCCCTCAGAGGACCGGCTCCTCGTCGGTCTCGTCGTTGTCCTCGTGCTCTTTCGGCTTGCTCTGAACTGTGGAATTACTCTTCACTCTTCGCTGTCGCTTCTGGTGGTTGTTCGATGCGGACGCACCGTTTCCGCCGACGTTCGCGTTCACGCTGCTGGAGTCCGCGTTGCTTCCTGCGCTGGAAACGACGTCCAAATTTTGTGGTCCGTAGGCGTCGATCAGGGGGCGCAGGGCTGTTCTCAAGGACGAGTAGAAGTGCGGGTACGTGCGCTCTTGTTGAAGAATCAACTCCTTGCTTTGTCGCGGTTTCTGTAACACAATTCACACGCACGGTTAATTGGAGCGGATCAAGTGGACCTCGACAAAAGCGCGGGAAAATGATCGATTGCGTTCTGCACCGAACTGAGACTTACCGCCTCAAAGACTTTTATGTTTCTGTACATATGACTCAAGATATAAATTGCACTGAATAAAATTTTCAAAGTGACCTTTCGTATTTCTGAATTTTTTAACGACTTCGCTTTATAAAAGATGCAGAGATACAAAAGACAAGTGCCCCCGAAACATGTCGGAATTAATCAATCCGAGAGCATCTAATTAAAGAGATACGCGGGCAGAAGAGCTACGTGTGACAATCAAAGATATAAATAACGTTTACCTCGGGAAGGTCACTTGACCCGGTTTCCCGCGAAGCCAGCAGCTTCTTAGTCTCCGTAAATTGCCTCAACGCTTTTTCCCGAACGTACACGAGCGGTCGTATGACCCTGAGATCTTGTCGGCGTATGTAGTAGTGGGCCTTCATGGTTTTCAGCTTGCCACCGTGGAACACGGAGACGAGGAAGCCCTCGGTGAGATCATCCAGATGTTGGCCCACAGCCAGTACGTTGTAATTGTGTCTCTTAGCGATAGAGTACAATTGCGCCCTGGTGTTTCGATCGCAGAAGCTGCACGCTCCGCTGGCGTCTAGAGACTCTTCCGGTTGATTCTCGCCGCTGTTGCACTTCGCTTCGACGTTTTGCTCCTCGTAGAAGTAAGGAACGTCCAGAGCCTTCAGGTAGCTCATCAGCTTGAGCGGGTCGAACCTGTTCGTGTCGACAGTAGCAGCGCCAATTTCGAAGTCCACGCCTTTGGACCTCACGTAAAATCTGTACTGGTGCAGCGTGTGCAGCAAGGACAGTGATCCTTTGCCATTGGCCAACAGACAAACCAACACTCTGTCGTTGTCTCGGATCATGTCGAACTCCTGCATAGCCTCTACAGCTGGTTTCCAGATGCTCTTCGGGGGGCAATGCCATTGCGGTCGGGTTCCTTCAGTCTTTCCTTCTTTAGATTCGAACGCAGCCTGCTCTCCATCTTCTTCCTCCTTCAGGTCGCCAGAGCATTCCTCGTCTTCGGAGAAGTCGTCGTTCTGGCGGACCTGTTGCTTGCAGCTGGACTTGTTGGACAGGGAACTCATCGACGCGGCCCTTGGCTTGCGACCGTAGCTGTTCGTAGAATTCGACTCGGCGCTGCTGCTCCTCTTCAAGTCCACGGAGTCCAAAGACTTGTCGCTTTCGTGGAAGCTCAGATTGATGCCGCTGTCTTGGGAGCTGACGGAGTTCACCGCGGAATAGATCTTGGGGAGAACCTTCCTCGCGTCGCCGATCTCTAAACCTCCGCGTTCGTGCGTGTCGTCGTCGTTCAAATCGTCGTCCAGATCCGGCACCACCTCTTCGTCGTCCGTTTTCGACTGGTTGCGAACCATCTGCTCGTTCTCCGGTGGTTTCATCACGTAGATCACCGTCTCATCTGAAGAGCACTCGCTCGACATCTTGCTTTCCTGCTGTGTCAGCTCGCCGACCTTGCCCGAGATCTCGATCGGGCCGCTTCGTCTGGCGCTGGACAATCTGGGAGAGGTCGACGACTGGAGAATCCTTCCCCTGTCGGGGGAGCCGCAACCGTTCGAGGACACGTCAGAAGCCGAGGCATCCGGAGAATGTCTGTGCAGCCCGTCGACCGCGTTCACCATGCATCTGATCTCAGATTTGACCTCGCTGGCCATCTCTTTAGAGAACTCCATCAAGTACTCAGCAATGTCGCTGGCCGTGAACGAGTCGTGTCTGAGCTGTTTCTCCTCGACGGACAGCTGACTGATGGAGCTGTGGTTGCGCGAGTGATGTTGCGGCGTGTTCTCGGACGTGTTCGTCTCCGATAAAGCGTCATCGACCTTGGAGATCACCTCGCGGATCTCGGACTTGATCTCCGTCGCCAGCTCCTTGGTCACCTCCTTCACGTAAGCGCTCAGATCGTCCTCCGACCTCTGCCCACCGTTCCCGGAAATGGGTGACGACCTACCACCTCCAATGAACTTCTCCGTGTAGTCGCTTACCGAGCAGAAGGACGACGGTGGCGAAGCTGCGTTGTGGCAGTTCAGAGACAAGATCGAGTGACTGGGGCTACCGTTGTCCAGCTCCAAAGAGTTCAGCTCCGTCTGACTGCTGCAGCTGCAGTGATGTCGTCTATGCTTCGGAGAGTTTCCATTATTTCCCAACCCTAAGCTGGTCAATGTCTGAGGGCTTAGCGGAAGAGGCGGTATAGGCGAGGAGGAGGATGATGCCACGTTTCGATTTCCCGAGCCGTTAACCCCGCCAGTAGTGCTCCCCAGAGAGTTGCACCTGGCACGGCCGGAATTGGCAGCGTCTATGAGATCTCTCTGCTCTTTGAGTGGCCTGTTGCCCGCGGGAGACATCGTTCCAAGAGCCGAAGGCGTGACCGCCTCGCCAACGGCGAATCTAACTGGCATCGGCGAGCTCGGACAAGTGGCTGGTGACCTCTGACCCGTCGAATCGTTGTTACGTTCGGTGTTGCTCGGCTGTTCCTCCTCGTTGCCGCTTCCGGGACTCGAGGAGGACGACTGAAACTCGGCCGCGTTCAGCAACGTCCTTCTGACGCTGCTCAGCACGGGAAGACTGCGGTGTCTGGGCGAGTTTGACGAGATCGGCGGATTTCCCGTCCGCGGAATGTCGCTGTTCAGTCGACGGATGCTGTTCGCCAGCGCCAACGAGTTCACCAGACTGTCGTGCGTGGTTGTCGGCGTGTGATGGCCGTGCTTGTTCCACGAGAGCATCGGATTGAAAGGCACATCTTGCTTCACGTTCTGCGAGTTGCCCAGCAGAAGGTCCTGCGCCTCGCTGGGCAGCATGAACCATCGCAGGTACTCCAGCCGTTCGGGCACGGAGTTGTAGCTGCGATCTATCTGCAGAGGATACCTTTGCGCCATTTTTCTCGCACGGTTGAAGATGTTCCTCGCCGTTTGCAAACAGTCGCCGTAGTTCTGCGGAAGAACGCCGGACCCGGACACCCTTCTTTCCGACGCGTTCATCTTCCCGTCGGTGTATCTGATAGAACTCAGCCATTTTCTTTCCTTGAACACGCTGTTCGTGTGATGCCTCCATTCGCCGGTGTCCGGGTTCAGCACGTACTGGGGCAGAAGCTTCCAGCCTTCGGTTGCGACCATCTTCAATGCCTCCAAAACGAAGGCTACTTCCGCTTCGGACATGAAATACGGAAACGAGAGCTTAGCGAATCCTGGCCTTAATCCTTCCGCGTTCGTCTCTCCATTCTCGTTGCTCCGCTCGCTGCAAGAAAACAAAGATGTTAAAACATTTCGACCTTGGAGTTCGAATCATTGAATTTGCAATCGATTTGCGTACCCCTCCAGAAGAGCTTTCTGGTACTCCTTGGCGAGTTCCTGGTCGATTCCCATCAGGTCATGAGCGTAACGACCCGCGCACGCGCACCCGCCTCGGGCTTGTATCCCAAAGACGTCGTTCAACACCGCGCACACGAAGTTGTGGTGTAGAAACGTGCCTCGCGGATGACGCACCATGAACGAAAAGATCGGCAACCTCTTAACATTCTGCGAGCCGCTGCCGAGCAGAATCAGTTCCGGAATTGTTCGTACGTGAGCCAGCACTTGTCTAGAGCAGGAAAGACCACATTTCAATTGCACGATCGAATCTTGTTAAAGATAATACGTGACTGTTCGGTGCCCAAAATCGATCATCCGAGGTCATCTGTTCGATTATGATCGAGGTCAAAGGCACGAGAAACTGATGATGAATTTTTAATAGAATTTGTTCTCCGATCTACATTTTTTCAAATTTTCAGATTCTCAAATTTAAACTCTGTAAATCTGTATGTTCTCTAAATTTTTAATTAGGTGCCTTCGCCATTAACCCTTTGCACTCCTATGTCGAGTGTAGCTCGACATAACATTTCTCTTGGATCTTATGAATGATTCAGATTGGTTCAATTGTATATTTTCATTTAATTACTATTTATAATAAATGAAAAATGTATTTGTCGCATACTGTACACTGTTACGATACATTTTACTGAGAACCCCTTTTTGATGTATTTTGTAAATGAAGGAGTTGTTAGGTAACAGAAATTAAGGAGTGTGAAGGGTTAACTCGTGCAGAGTTTATTAGATGTATAATGTATCGAGAACCAATCGATTTTGGATAAGAGAACTTCATAAAATTACCTGGAAATCTTATCCTGACGAGCGACGATAGCTCGCGGTGTCACGTTTTCCTTTAATTGCATCGCGAGTCCACATCTGATGCTTTCGACGACTCCAGCAGTGCCGCTCTCCTCTCGAAGCTCAGGATCTCGATGATAATGATGGGAGTCCCTCATGTCCTCCGCAGCAATTCTCTCCTTCAACAGGGACCTTTTGGTCACCAGTACTCCAGGCGATTGAACACCTCCGATGAACTTGTGTCCGGCGAAAATGATCGCGTCTTTGTGAACGGCCGTCTCCCCCACACCGGGTAGATGTGGATTCATGTCGATCTGCACGTACGGGGCTGAAAAATGGACAAGCTAGATAAACATCCAATAGATGACACACGCTCGATCGAAACCGGTATCTATGCATATTTTAATCGTAAAGAGTGATCGTTGCGTCACATGTCATTCACTGTTTTGTTACCTGCAGTGGTGTAATCCCAAACACTAAGTGCCCCGTACTGGTGTAGTATGAGGGTCGTGGCGACGTCATCTGCCAAAACCCCGGTTATGCAACTGGCAGCACTGAAGCATCCAATCATTTGCGTAACACCCTCGGCTCGCACTTTCATCAGCTTACGCTCGAGATCGTTCAGATCCAAGAAACCCTCCCGGGTCTCAGACACTCGTACTATCTGCAATGATCGTTTCAACTTTAAGTGTGCCATTTCATTCTCAAATTTTAGCTATATTTAGACGACTCAGAATAGAATTACTTAAGTAATCAGTCTAGATATACCACGCGAAAAATGTTCGGTATCTCGTTTGGACTACAACTTATTATTGGCACTTAAGAGGTTAATACGTCGGGTCAATCGTGGCCCAGACATACTAAAGTAGATACAAGAATACTTCGAATAATATTAAACTGACATTTTTTGAAGAAACTGAAAGGGTTGAGATATTTCTGAATTGATATTTTTTCAGAAATGTGGAACTAAAAATGCACTTTATGGGGAGACGAAAGATATTCTATTTCGATTTGCTGTTTTTCAAGAAACCGCGTTAGTCATCCAGCTACGCGCGCAACAGAGACAACTCGATGTTATAAATTTTATTCTGGGACGACCCGAGGATCTTGCCTTGAACCGTACCATTGACCGGCTTCCCGACATTCTTTGCTGAAAACGCTAACTTCTGTCAAGGTATTCAAGGGTGGATGAGAGTTGGAAATACATTTGTTTTATGCTCAGGCAACAGTGATTTCCTTCTGCAAATCAGAAGCTCTTAGCCGATAGAAACTTTCTAAAGAATTTGCAAACAAGACGCATCGAAAGAATTTTTCCAACCGGTTAAAAGTACATGTTGGAATTCGAGATGTCTTTAACCTTTTCTCTTGTGAAATACTCTGTTAGCTTCACCTTTCAAATTTGAATTTCAACATCCTCAAATTCTACAGATTCTAAATTAAGGCCATAAATTATCAAACTTTATTTTCTATATTTTTTAATTTTCTGAAGATTAACATTTCAAGTTTTCGCATTAGCAAAGCTTCATATCTACAAATTTCTAAATTTCAAAATTTATGATTTCTATATTTTTTAATTTTCTGAAGCTACTCTCAAGTTTTCAAATATTCACATTTTTGAATTTTTAAGTCCTCAAATTTCTGAAGGTGAAATTCACAAAATTTTCACGTCTCACATCTCCAAATCTCCAAATACCCAAATTTTAAAGTCATTCTCATATGTCCAAAATCCACATATTAACCTTTGACAACCTCTAACAACCTACCCCAGTAATTCCACAATAGTTACGCCAATAGTACCTCCAGTTATCTCAGTAAGTCTCGAGCGTTAACCTCTCGATTAATATTAACGCGTCGTTGAATCAAAAATATTCTCAATGAAATTCTCAATGCCAGATCGCACGTCGATCCCATCGAGAGCATTTGATTCAGCGAAACTGTAGGTATAAATGTCGTATTCTTACCCTGACACCATACTCTCTCCAAGGTCGCAGATTCGCGTGATGCTCGAACGGACCCACGAACACCACGGTGGATTTCGAGAGATCCAAGTGTCGCAGAAGTGTGCGAAGGGCAGCAGCCGTGCCTTGACCCGTGAACAGCACCGCATCCTGTTCGCCAGCTCCCACTGCATGTCTGACGATGTCTCTGGCTTCGTGTCTGCAATGTTTCTTCCCGTCAGAATATATCGATTCGTCCTTCCGCGGACATTAACGAGCATAAAATCGCGGCTGCCGAGGGCAGAGCGGATTCTTTCGCGTTTCTTTGTCGCGACTGAGGTCGGCCGACTACACGCAACCGCCATTTTTGCACGATCGAAACTTGAGCATCGGATTCTTGTCTACGTTCGGATTATTCTACCTTCTATGAAACCAAAGTATTCTTTATTTAGCAAAAATAATTACTGAAGTTTATATCAGATAGTTACATCAACCATATGTGAACATTATGAGCAAAACTTCAACCAAAATGAACGTCAGTACATGTGAAGGTCACGCTGTTTGCTTTTGACGAATCTCTTTCGTGACACTCACAGCTCAAATGTGACAAAAGCTTGCTAAAATTTATAATACTCTTCAACTTGCAATTTACAATTTGTATAGTCAAAGATGTTGAATATAAAATGCCCATAATATTTTAATTTTCTTTGTCTTTTTTAATGTGTTAGTTTTGACTGACGCATCTAGCAAATAAAATGTACAGCAAGTTAATAAGGATCTACCAGAAGTGATCACCATGTGAATTGAAATTATACACAGAATTTATAGTCTCATTGAAATAAAGGTTCTATAAGATTCTACCATATGTGATCACCATGTGAATTGAAATTATACACAGAATTTATAGTCTCATCGAATTGAAGGTTCTATAAGGTTCTACCATATGTGATCACCATGTGAATTGAAACTATACATAGAATTTATAATTTCATCGAATTGAAGGTTCTATAAGGTTCTACCATATGTGATCACCATGTGAATTGAAATTATACACAGAATTTATAGTCTCATTGAATTGAAAGTTCTATAAGGTTCTACCATATGTGATCACCATGTGAATTGAAACTATACACAGAATTTATAGTTTCATCGAATTGAAGGAATTATCCATAAGAGTTCAAAAGCCTGTTCGTGTTTGTTGTCTTGTACGGTCGGGTGGTCGGTAAGCGGTTGGGGCTCGGTCGGATATATTGATCTGGGACATCAGCGCCAGGGAACGGGACGCCGAGCGGAACCACCCTAACGCTCGAGCGTGTGAGATTTCGGGATAACGGGTCGATCGAAAAACCGAGTGTCCTAGGAACACGGACAAACGAAGGCGCGTGGAATCGAGGCGAAATTCCTTGGTCGGTGAGCGAAATAGAAAGGCGCGAGTTGTACGGTCGAGTGGCGCAGAAAACGAGACTCGTTTACCGCGGAAACTGCACGTCAACCGGAATCGCGGCTGCACGCAGGCATCGCGGTATGCTAATCTCGTGCTCGCATAGGAAATCGACGATTAGGAATTCACGACGCACGCTTCGTGCTGCTTTCTAACGATCCTTAAGGTAGCTTTTCACGTGACAGTGAATCGAGAGTTTTACTGTCATAACACCGAACGTCGTGACTGTCGTGGAAACCAGAAGTCCGGTTACGAGACTCCATTTCATCTTTTTCTTCGGAATTTATGTGCTCAATATACAATAGCAACTTTAGATTTTAATATATGATTTATGGTAAGTCAGTATATGAAGTTATTTTAGAAAATCCTCTATAGACATTTACTATATGAAGACATATGTGAATGTATGATGTAGAAATTGCAGAATAATCGATATAAAATATTTCAACATACAATGCATGAAAGGAAAAGGAATTTCAAGGTCCCAACAAGAATGTTCCCTCTAACGATTGTAATGTTAATTTGAATTTTAAAATTCCTACAAAAATTCCAAAACAAATATGAATAAATACATTACATTAAAACATAATTTGAAATAAAAATTATCGTTAATAAGAATAATTTATCTACGTCAGTAAATTAAAACTGAATAGTCAGCGAGCGTAGCCAATACAAAATGGCAGCGATAAAAATCACTCGTGTGCAGCAGGCCGATCGTAAACTACCAGCAGCACAACGAAGGACCGTCATCGCGAATTGCTTCAATTTCTCGATTAATAAGTCGACACCAGTAACTGGAATTGGTTCTGGGAAGCAGCTGTTGGACGCGGATGTGTCGCGGTCCGATGATCGTCGAATCGTGCATAAATGCGTGCGCGTGTTTCTGCGACCTCGATCGTTATCGTATTCGTTCAAACGATGGTCCAGCCTCGTGGCACGGGAAAGAGAAGGATGCTACTGAAAGGTCTTTCTCACCTGAACAGAGAAGACTGGAGGCTGCAGATGGACGTGGAAGCTCGGGTGTCGCCCAAATATGGCAGCACTTCTTTCGCGATGTATTCCTCGAGGAATTGCAGTGACCTTCCGGACGCTGTGTAATCGCAGTATACCACTGAAAACAAAACGAGAAATTATTCAGAGTTCGCAATTTTGCATCTTAGCTTAGTTAGAATTTTTATTTGCCTTAGAATTTACATTCGGGTAATTTTAGCTGGGTCTTTGTGTATGTACACATATATTTATATGTACGTATATATACTATATTTAATATTAGCATGTTTAATTTGACATGTTATTTTAGATATAATTTTTATGCCAACACGTTTGCGTTAACTTTATAAAAAATAACATCACGTGAATCGAGAAAATTGACGTGCTCTCTACCTGTCTAATTAGAAAGACAAATAAAAGATTATCGTAGCTGATGAAGGTGTTTTCGTAACGTTTTTACACCGATATAAAATTGTATTTTTCTGGTTGTGTCATTGTTAAAACACACGTGCGATATGTTAGTCATCAGTAGTCTCGGGTCAATAATTTCGCGGTTTTTGCATATTCCTGTTTTCCTCGTTCCGAATGTACGTGCTTTCCGACGTCAAAATATCTCGAAACTGCGCGTTGTTATCTGCGCAGCTTCGACTGGCGAAAATCAACGACTCTTCTCTTCGAGAATGTGTGTATAGGGTACTCTCTTTGAACAGACAGCATATAGTTGAACACACATCATATATCTTATATGTATATCACATGTGAATTATACATATATGTGTATGTCATATGTGTACATCTTATATGTATTTCATATGTGTACATATTATATCTATATCATATGTGTATATCTTACATGTATATCATATGTGAATTATACATATATGTGTATGTCATATGGGTACATCTTATATGTATTTCATATGTGTACATATTATATCCATATCATATGTGTATTATACGTATATGTGTATATCATATGTGTACATCTTACATGTATATCATATGTGAATTATACATATATGTGTATAGCACATGTGTACATCTTGTATGTATATCATATGTGTACATATTATATGTATATCATATGTGCATTATACATATATGTGTATATCATATGTGTACATCTTACATGTATATCATATGTGAATTATACATATGTGTGTATCATATGTGTACATCTTACATGTATATCATATGTGTACATATTATATGTATATCATATGCGTATTATACCTATATGTGTATATCATATGTACTTATAATCTTACATGTATATCATACATTGAACACAATAATGATTTATGGTGTCCGTCAATAACAATGCATCTACAGAATCTATCACCTATTTTCTATCACACAAAAATGTGAATTGCACTAAATAACCTTGAAACGTCCTCGAGCCACCTACGCATCCCAAAGTCCTGTTTGACCTCGATAACCGACCTTCCACGTATCTGCTTACAAGTCGTACAGAAATGGCTGCCACGTTTGTATCGACCTATTCAAATCGCTATCATAAAGCGTTTGCATGACGTCGCGCGAAAAGAATCATGGGAAATGGCTCAGAAGGAAACGTCATCTTGTCAGAGGTCGCGCATCCATTAGTTTTTTCCTGTTTCCCGTTCGCTCGATTTATCCAACGAATTGGAGCACAAAGATGACTCTTTACCGGGGAAGGTTAGCGCGATAAAAATAGATTACCGAGAGGAGAATTATAATTACTTATAATGGTATATTTACTATGTTAGCGATATTCGTTACACCCTGTACGTGCGTCGAGACGGCCGTTGCTTCCGCTGCTATTTTCAGTGCCGCCGAGTTGACCAGAAAATGGAAAATGTTTATTTGGTGAAAACGGGAGCCGGTTTCTGTAGCGAACAAAGAGCCATACAGACGTGCATTCATTGCACACTGAACGTCGAACGGTTTGAAAAAGAACTGTGTACAATAGAAAATAAGTAACAGCATGATGTCCGTGTAAACGTGTTTCCAAGGGATAATCTCGGCCCTTGTCCTGCGGGATTAAGTGCTCTCATTTTTGTCAGTAATGACTATATTTCAAGTGTTCATGCAAATAACGTAATGAATAGTTTGTATCTCTCGACTCGGGCAAATTGATGTTATCACCAGATTACATGCAATTAATCTGCGCATAAAAAGTAAAAATTACAGTTCATTTATAACGACAAATGAGCAGATATTATCGCGAGAGAGAGGATGTAAGAAATAAACGGAGCCTCACGCACCTGTTACAACGAGAAACTCGCACGACCAGATCGATTACGAAATATTTCGGCTAGCGTGTAGAAATGCACGATTATTCTCTATCGATCAAAGAGCAGAAGGTTCGCGAGGGCAAAACGAATCGTTTTATTGGCAGGGAAAGCCAAGGTAGTCGAGGGATAATGACTCGCAGGTGTGTCTTACGAAACGCTGGATAATCGATACAACCGGTCCTTGCTACGGACAAAATTACAATTGCTGGTGGCTTCCTGTCCCGTCGCCGCAAAGAGGATAAATTCGTATCGATTTGTTTAGAGACGCGAAATACGCGAAAAACAAAACAGCGAAATTTAATAGCGGTTTCGTAACTGGCCAACGCTTATATAAGGACGATAGCAATCGTGCGCGAGTCGCCAGATATTTTCTCGTTCCAATCGATTAGATGCAAAACGCTATACTTCCCATTTACTTCTCAGACTATTTCAATAATTCTTCGTTTTATACCTTCACTTTTTTGTACTTTGATATTGGTCGCACAAGGGTTGTCTTTTATTTACCTCTTAATTTATATAAAAAATATTAAATGTTTACAGGATAATTTTTAGCAAGCTTGAAACTTTAAATTCATGTACCACTTGACGATTTCGTGTCATCAATTTAGATCAACCCTTAATTTAAATCAACCCCTAATTTTTGAAACGAGAATATAGTACCAGAAATATGAAATAAGATATACATTATTTTTAAAAAATATTTTGAAGCTTAAGAGTAGTTGTCTTTTACTAACCTCTCAATTTATATAAAAAATATTAAATGTTTACAGGATAATTTTTAGCAAGCTTGAAACTTTAAATTCATGTACCACTTGACGATTTCGTGTCATCAATTTAGATCAACCCTTAATTTAAATCAACCCCTAATTTTTGAAACGAGAATATAGTACCAGAAATATGAAATAAGATATACATTATTTTTAAAAAATATTTTGAAGCTTAAGAGTAGTTGTCTTTTACTAACCTCTCAATTTATATAAAAAATATTAAATGTTTACAGGATAATTTTTAGCAAGCTTGAAACTTTGAATTCATGTACCACTTGACGATTTCATGTCATCAATTTAGATCAACCCTTAATTTAAATCAACCCTTAATTTTTAAAACGAGTACCAGGTGAAATATGAAATAAGATATACATTATTTTTAAAAAATATTCTGAAACTTAAGAGTACTTTGCCAAAGTTCTGGTAAAACGAGAAGACCCGGTAATTCTAGCGAACATGTTCGCAGCACTTAAGGGATTAACAGAGAATCAAAAGAGAGAAAAGAAAATTTAAAACACATCTGTTTTCGCGACGAGCTTATTTTCGACGAGCTCTCGCAACGTCTTGCCTCTTGCATAAGAGATTTTATCCCGCTTCTGACATGGCAATAGGCTTTGCCGGGATAAGCGGGGCTCGAGTGAATAAAACGAGCGGAATTCATTAACAATAATGCTACGTAATGTTCTTTGTAAGCTTCTGGGAGTAGCTGTCACGCTCTTGTTTCTCTTTCGAGATGGTTTATTCGTCCGGAAGTTCGGGTGTCTTAATTTGGACAAATGCAATCAGAATGTTTTTTTTATTTGGAATGATTGTTAACACCTCGATGCAGAAACAGTTATGTTTATCGAGACGTTTGAGTAGCTGATCACATAAGTGAAATAGACGAATCTAATACGGTATAATATGGGTTATTAATACGGATATGTAAGCAAATTTAAACAGCAAAGCACAATTTAATCAGTAGACAGTGTTTACTGAAGTATACATTAATTCACAGACATCGGATTTCATAGAATATTCAATTTACACACATACATGTAAATACACAAACACGTGCTGCCCACAAGAATTATTAAATTTTCTCCAACTCTTAATTATTTACGATCTGTGCATAATCATACGATTATGTCAACCAGAAGCATTAGTTGTGTCAATCAAACTGAATATGTCAATGACAAAACTGAATCTCAAAACTCGGGTCTCGAACTACGTAATTCATTTGAAATGCAGAAAGCTGGAAATTGCAGTCCTCGTTATCTAAAATGATAATTAGTGCTTCGATCAACCGCGACGTGGTCGAACAATTCACTTTACCGCCTTGAACTGCTTCTACCAAATGAAACTGAACTGACGTCAAAATCTCGTTAGTTGATAAAATCATCTTTATCGATTAATGTATGCTGACTCGGTAAATAATTCGAATGCACCGGAGAGTCTTAATGGCGGCCATTTTGTGGTTGTAGCGTAGTCGCAAATTCCGTTCGAGTGGATGTTGTGTATTTTATTTTTGAGTTAGTAAAGATTTGTGTTGATGTGAATTGTGGTTAGAGTGGTTTCTTTATAGTTTGGAGTATTTCTGAATGCGATGTGTCCTAAAATTCTTAGGTCCCTAGATTTCTAGGTTACCAAATTTCAAGCTTTTATAATCGTTATTTTTACTTTCTAGGTTCTCAATTTTCTACGTCCCCAAATTCCAAGGTATACGAATTGCAAGGTTTGTAAATTCCAAGGTCTGTAAATTCCAAGGTCTCTAAATTTCAAGGTGTCCAAATTCCAAGATCCTCAAATTCCAAGCTCCACAAATTCCAAGCTCCCCAAATTCCAAAGTCTCCAAATTCCCAGGTCCCCAAATTCCAAACTCCCCAAATTCCAAAGTCTCCAAATTCCCAGGTCCCCAAATTCCAAGGTCTCCAAATTCCAAGGTCCCCAAATTCCAAGGATTCCTCCCAGGTCCCCAAATTCCAAACTCCCCAAATTCCAAAGTCTCCAAATTCCCAGGTCCCCAAATTCCAAACTCCCCAAATTCCAAAGTCTCCAAATTCCCAGGTCCCCAAATTCCAAGGATTCCAAATTCCAAA